ATTATTATATAATATATTTAATAATATTATTTATTTAATATATTTAATAATATTATTTATTTAATATATTATTATTTAATATATTATTACATGTTTTCAAAAATTAAACCACCAAACGCAGTTTCAGTTTTTTTTAAAACTGAAATCAATCTCTAAATAAAACTACCAAACGCATTTTTAGAAATAATTCAAAAATGAAACTAAAAACGTTTTCATTTTCATTTTCGTACAGAAAATAAAAACGTTTTGAAACCAATTCCAAACGCACCCTTTATATTTTTAAGTTAAAGGTGATTCGAGTGATGATTTTAAGTTAAGTTTGAATTATAATTTGAGTTAAAGTTGTAATTTGAGTTTGTATTTGGATATGCACATTTGAGTTATGATTTGAATTGAGAATCTTTTTGAGTTTGTATTTAGATAAGTCAAAACTTAAATTTGTATTTAGATAATATTTTAATAAAAACTTAATGGTGATGACAAATTTTAATAAGGTATATGGGTGGGGTTTTATTCATTTTTTCGTTGTGAATGCATAGAAAAAAAATCATCTCAATCATAATTAAAGTGAAAAAGTTATGGCATTTTGGTCCGTTTGGTTTGCTGATTCGAGTTTTTAATTCGAGTTGAGATGTGACGTTGTGTGAGAGCTTTTTACTGTAGTAAAACTCGAATTCTAAACTCAAATCAGCGAAATGAACGGGGCCAATTTATTAACTTGAGTTCGAGTTTATGAACTCAAGTTGAAGGGAAAACTTGAACTCGAGTTTAGCCCGAAACTCGAGTTCAAACTCGAATTCTAACTCAAGTTCAAATTCAAATTTTACAAAAGAACATAAACTTGAATAAAGTTGTAACTCGAGTTCAAACTTTTTCTGAGTTTTGTTGCAAAAGAACAACCCCTAAGCAGTCGATTGCCACAATTTTTTTGTTTAGGGATTCACATGCCAAACCCGTAAAGTTCAGAAGGGACGGGTGCAAAAAAGCCTTAGTTTTTATAGTTTTGTACAAATATTCGTGGGGCTTGTTTGGTTTAACAATTTAAATTGTAGATATTTGAACATTTTTTGTTAGAACAGTAAAATTTAAATTATAGTGATTTAAATTATGTTTCGAACTGTTATTTGGATATGCAAATAAATTATAACTTGAATTGGGAATAAAATTTGAACTGTATTTGGATAAAATGTTGAAAACTGTCATTAGAGTTTTATAACCAATCTTATAAAACCTCATTATAAATGACATTAAAAAATATGCAACATGGGTGGAGATTTGTTCATCTCTTCATTATGAACACATTAAAAAAATCATCTCAATCAGAATTAAAACGAAAAAATTATCACATTTTCAATATTGAAATTGAAGAGAGAAAAAAAAAATGGAATCTATAACTATTGGATTGTTGATAACAATTGAGATTGTTAGAATTTAAGGAGGGGGTGAATTCTAAAATTAACAATTTGAATTGTCTTTGAACTATTGTTAATGGTTTGAATTGTCCTTGAATTTTCATCTCCCAAACACCAATTTGAATCTTGAACTAAGATTTAAATCCTAAACAATAATTTGAGTTGTTGAAACAAACAGGGGTGTGATTCATTGAAACTAATATAGGGCCCGTTTAGTTTGCTGATTCAAATTTTTAATTTGAGTTGAAATATTCTTTTATATGAGAGCTTTTTACTATAACAAAAAAATTAGATGTGACTATTTCTGAAAGATTTTTATTGTTGTAAAATTAAATTCTAAACTCGAATTAATAAAATGAACTAGACCATAATTGTGCCATGAGGATGATTAAAATATATGGTTAGGTAGTTGTTGGGCATTCTCAACAGTAGCTGCGGTGGAAGGTATAAACCAAATCGTCACAGGAAATTTGACGTCCTTGTCTGAACAAGAGCTAATTTATTGCGACAAACCTTATAACAATGGATGCAATGGGGGTCTTATGGACTATGCATTTGCTTTCATTGTCTCCAATGGCGGTATTCATAAGGAAGAGGACTGCCCCTATCTCATGGAAGAAGGCACTTGTGAAATGGAAAAGGTAGTTTAGTCATGCCCAAAATGGCCTATAGGCTATAGTAGATTATTTGCACCTACTTTTTTAATTTATTGCTTCATTACATTGATTAAAATATATATTACTAGCTAGCTATAGGAACGAAAATAAATTCATAAATTATTAATTTTAGACCTATTTAGTTCGCTGATTTGAGTTGATATATGATTTCATATGAGAACTTTTTACTATAGTAAAAAATTAGATGTGACTATTTCTGAGAGTTTTTTATTGTGACAACACTCAAATTTTAAACTCAAATCGATAAAATGAATGAGATATTTATAATCCATCCACACAGGATTACAATAAGTGGTGACCATTAGTGGCTATCATGATGTGCCGGGAAACCATGAAGAGAGCCTGTTGAAGGCACTTGCAAACCAACCTCTAAGTGTTGCTATTGAGGCTTCCGGAAGGAATTTCCGATTCTATAGAGGGGTAATTAACTCCACCTGCTAATAATTCTTAATAATTAGATTGGTTAAAGCTTGTGATGCTAAATAAACGTGCTAAATTGCACAAAAGACAAATAACAACTTAACCATAGACACAAGAGAAATAGAAGACAACATAGACACAACAGAAAGAAAAAAAAAAAAAAAGAAGAGAAATAATCTTGTAATTATTTATAAAATAATGTCATGAACACTAACTTTATTATTAATTTTTGTATACTAAATATTAATGTGATATTTGAGCTGTCATTTAATAATAGTGAATATTTAAAATATTATCACGTCATTTAATGATAAGAAATTACGTCTATTAATAAAAAAATGACAATTCATTTAAAACATGAATTAATATATAAGAGTTGAGACCTAAATTAATGTCTCTAGCAAAACTCTTATTTATAATATTATCCATCACTATAGAATTAATGATAAAGTGCATGACGTTAAATGTCATATTTGTTTTTGTAGGGTGTTTTCGATGGACACTGTGGAAGTCGTCTAGACCATGGTGTGGCGGCCGTTGGATATGGGCCATCCAACGGTTCAGAATTTAGATTACATCACTCGTGGGGGCCCAAATGGGGAGAGAAAGGCTACATCAGGATCAAGAGAAGCACGGGAAAGCCTGAAGGTTTATGTGGAGTGGAATCAAGAAAATGGCATCTTATCCTACGAAAAATATCTGACCATTTTTTATCCCTCTTTAGTAATTTACTGTGGTTCAGCAAAGTTTGTCCGTTAAATCATGCTCTTTAAGCAATACATCTATAAAGATAAGGAAGAAAGAGAAAAATAAGTTAAGATTTGAGATGAATTAAAATTAATAAATTAATAGTTGACATAAGTTAATAAATAGATTAAATTATTATTTTCGTCCACAATTTATCTGGTTATGAACCATAACTTGACAAGTTATTGTCCATAAATCACAATTTTTATCCATAATTTGTCTGACTATGAACTATAACTTGATAAGTTTATCTATAACTTATCTGGTTATGAACCATAACTTAATAAATTATGACATATTAATTTTTATAACTAAAAATTTATCTATATACTTCTTTAAACTTTTTATGTTGATATATTTTCTACTATTTTCGTGAAGATAATTACGTTTAATTACGTCTCTTTAGTCTCTCTCTCTCTCTTTTAATGTTATTGTATATTGTTTTGTACACGGGAAATAGTTGATCGGGTCTAAACGAGATTAAGGAAAATAAAAGACTCAAAAAAAAAAAAAAAAAAATCACGGTGCCTTTGATTTAAACACTGCCACGGAAGATTTTTAGCTGCCTATGGAACAGTGACATGTGGCAAAACTCGTTTTTTGTGTTTTCTTTCCACCCTTATAAACTCCGGCCTCGTTCACTTCGCGGATTTGAGTTTTCGATTCGAGCTGAGATGTGACATTTTCTGAGAGTTTTTTACTGTAGCAGAAAATTTTGATGTGACAATTTCTGAGAGCCTTTTACTGTAAAAACCTAAAATTAAAAACTCAAATCGGTGAAGTGAATGAGGCCTCCATGTAGTGTTAATTTTTACTAAACTTGGGCTTGAAGAGAACAAATAGGCTATTGGGCTCAATGTTTAATAGGCTTGAGCTAGAGTTGGGCACTTACAATTTCAGGAATTTCAAAAGTAAGGTTGTGAAACGTAAGGGAACTTCCATTTTTCCTGAGAACAGTGCTAGTAGATCTATAATACCATGGAGAATATCCAAGGAGATTCAAGAAGTCAAAGCTTGGGTCAATATTATTTTTATTTATTTATTTATGTCTCGTTCATTTCACCAATTCGAGATTAGAATTTAAGTTTTGTTACAATAAAAAGTTCTCAGAAACAATCACATTCAATATTTTTGCTACAGTAAAAAATTCTCACATAAAGTTACATCTAAACTCGAATCAGCAAATTAAACGGACCCATCAAAATGTTCGGTTTTAAATACCGCTTGTTCATGTGCTGGGGCTAGAAATAAAATAAACTCATGTCTGTTATGTTAGTTGGTAATCCAAAATGAGGTTAAGGGCTATTAAACAATAAAATAAAATAAAAATAGAATAACATTAAAAAAAATAGTTAAAAATAGAGGCCTCATTTCAACTTCTATAGGGTTACGTGATCCCACATGTCATGTTTTCCTAGCTAAATTGCCTCTCATCTCATTCAACACCTTGTGACGAGTAGATTTTCTCTCTCAAGAGAATTTTAGAACTACTGGTTATAAGTACGCACCCCTATTTTTTATATGAAAATCTAACATTTCTTTTAATATTTAGTTGTATTTATTTATTATTCTCATAATAATTGAGTTTAGTTTAAAAAAAAGAAGAAAAATTTAGTATAACACATTTAAAAAAAAAGAAAAAAATTAAATAGTAAATTATTTATGAGGTACATATAAAATAAATTATTTAAATGGAGTATGAAAAAAAAAATTTATAAAAATATTTCGTAAGAAGATTAAACTACAAAAGAGCACTCGGAAAAAGATTAAAACAACACTAATAAAAGCAAAAGAATAATAGAAATTAGCAAACCTAAAAATAAAAACAAAACAAAAGAGAAAAATGAGAGATTGACATGTGGCCAAAGAAAAATTAAAAATAAGAAAATGTAAAAAATAAAAACAAAATAAAGAAATGAAAGGTTGTCATGTGGCAAAAGAGAGAGCAATTTCTTTTAACTCTTTTATGTATGTTAGATTGGATTGGATTAGATTAGATTAGATAAAAACAAAATACTATATTAGCTGCATTGTTATAAGAGCTTTTTTTAATTAAATTTATTTTTTTATATATATAAGTAATGCTAAGGATATTAACTTAAATTTTAATCTTTGCGTATCAACTTATGTAATATATAAGTTGTCATCTTTTTATTAGTAGATGAAATCTCTTATCATTAATTGACTTGACAATATTTTAAGCACCCATCAATATGAAAATGACAATTTACATGCCACATCAGTTAGTACACAAAATTAAAATTTGAGTTGGTGTCTCTAATATTATTCTACATATATTCTTATATTTTTTTATACAATACTATTAGGGTTTTTTTATTTTTTCTAAAACATCTGCACAAACAAGGTAGGGCGGTTTCAATTTTTAACTGTTGATCTAATTTTGATAAGACTAAATTAAAAAAAAAATGCAGAATAGATAAATCTATCGTTAAAACATAATTTTTTATCGAATAGTCTATTTTTTTAAGAGATACGAGTGACACTCTTCACAAATAATTAGTTTGCACGTTCTTTTTTCCCATTCACTCTTCACAAATAATTAGTTTGCACGTTCTTTTTTCCCATTTTAATGTTTAATCATGGTTTGTGTTTTCCTTTTCTACTTGAAGACGCCATTGAATAATCAGTGGTCGCATGTGATGTGAGAGATGATAGACTAGAAAACGTGAGCCATTCAAACTTTCCTATAAATAAATTGAAGGACTTGAGTGCTCAATAATTCCTCAATAAATTCGCTGCATCATAATTTTGGTAATTAGTTCTTTTTTTTTTTCTCTTTTCAAATAGTTTTGGCAAGTAATTTATGATATTACTTTTGATATAAATGGGATGGCATTCATCTTGAAGATCATTAGTTTTAAGAAATTAAACTCCATTTATTTTATCGATTTGAGTTTAAAATTTGAGTTTTGATACAATAAAAGTTCTCAGAAATAATCACATATAACTTTTTTATTACAGTAAAAAACTCTCACATAAAGTCACATCTCAACTCGAATTAAAAACTTAAATTAGCGAACTAAATGGACCCTTAACTAATAAGAGGAAAGTCTTAGATGTCAAAGGTAACATTATTGTATAAACGAAATTTCTTTAATGATATATCAACACCGTCACATCATTTCATATGATAGGATCTAATAGAGATTCTATGGGATTTTTTTTCCTTTTTATTACATAAATTTTAAGGCATGTTTTTGTGTCACCAATAAGAAGAACACACGTAAAATTACTGAATTAATACACTTATCATTCTATAAAAAAAAATACACTAATCATAGTAATATATTCGGTACTTGTATCACTAATATTAATAAGAAAAGTAAATTTTATTGGGAGAAATGTTGGGCGAAAATGGAAGGCAAAGGAAGAAAGTTTTTTTTTTTGGGTAGAAAGGGAAAAAAAAAAAAAGAAGATTTTTGTGCATAAAAAATGTACAAAACAGGGACCAGGCCAAAGACTCAACGTCACCACTTCAATCATTGAGAAAAAATAACTAAATTATTGAGAGACTGATTAGACCATTATTTGGAAGAGGGAAAAAAAGAAAAAGAAAAGAAAATGGAAACATGAATAGGCTCCACCACACGCCTTCTGGTGCTTTGGTTTTTACTCAAGAATAGTTTCAGTCTTAGAGCACTATATCGGATTATATATACACGTTTAACGTAGCTTCTGAGATTGAGTACGTCAGAAATAACAATTTAAGAGTTTGGGACCGAGTCAAGTGGGTCAGTGTTTGATGAACGTTGAAGGGTCGTTGCTTGATTTTGTTTGTCTGAGGTTTGAGTTTGTTGCTGTATTGTTTTGCTGTCCTGGGAGATAATCTGGGCAAATTCTATAATAATTCCCACAACTTTTTTTTTTCTTCTTTTTCTTCTTTTTTCATTTTCTTGTTCTGACCGTACACCAAGAATTCTGCCCAAGAAGCCACGGTCCAGTTAGAGTGGCCCCAAACTCCCAATCTGATTTTGGTTCTCTACTGGTAAGTGATCTGAATTTTCGGTTATCTTCCTTTTCCTGCTCTTAATTCCTCTTTTTATTTATTTATTTATTTATAGTTTGTGTCTAAACTTTATTGTTTCATTATACTAAAGTGAATCTATTGTTTTGTTGTTGTTTGTTAATATTTGTTATGTGGTGGGGTTGTTCCATTGCAGATTGGTTTGACTTATCAGTGGTTAAAAGATGAAAGGAGCTGCACTGGTGGCTATAGCTGCAACCATTGGTAACTTTCTCCAAGGCTGGGATAATGCTACTATTGCTGGTTAGTGGGTGTCCCTACAGATCTCTGCAAAATTTATTTTATTTTTAGTTTGTTTTCATCAATGTGAAATTTTTCATAATTTCGCTTCTTATTGTTAGTCTCTGTTGAATTGTTACTTGCATAGCAGAGTGAGACTCAATATTCATACTTTTCGTGTCACATTTTATCTCTTTCGATCGCATCCTAATTGTCTCTTTGCAGGGGCTATTGTTTACATAAAGAAGGACCTTGTCTTGGAAAGCTCAGTAGAAGGTCTTGTGGTGGCCATGTCACTCATTGGAGCAACAGCTATAACCACATGCTCAGGAGCTGTATCAGATTGGCTCGGAAGGAGGCCAATGCTGATAATCTCATCTGTGCTCTACTTCATTAGTGGTTTGGTAATGCTGTGGTCACCAAATGTGTATGTCCTGTGTATAGCCCGGCTTTTAGATGGATTTGGTATCGGTCTTGCTGTTACTCTTGTCCCTGTCTACATATCTGAGACTGCTCCATCTGATATAAGGGGATTGTTAAACACCCTTCCTCAGTTCACAGGCTCCGGCGGCATGTTTCTGTCGTATTGTATGGTGTTCGGGATGTCGCTGTTGCCATCACCAAGCTGGAGATTGATGCTTGGAGTACTTTCCATTCCCTCTCTTATCTATTTTGTTTTGACAGTATTTTACTTGCCTGAATCTCCTCGGTGGCTTGTTAGTAAAGGCAAGATGCTTGAGGCGAAAAAAGTTCTTCAGCAGTTACGCGGAGTGGAAGATGTTTCAGGTTTGTTTCTTGTAGCTAATATGCTTAACAGATTCTTATCTTTTGTAGCAAAGGCATCTTCACTCATTTTTGTGCCTCAAATTCCTAGCTCCGGCTTAAAATGTCTAAAAGATTGCATTCTTATTGTGTTCTGACACCAACAGTTTCTGTTGTGTCTCAATGTTATAACTATGAGAGACTGAAAGAACTGGTGAAGTTATATACAATGTACTTTTGCTAACTGTATAGCGCCAGAAATTTGAGATAAAGGACTTGTTAAATTATACGTTTGATTTTGAAGTAAAGGAATGAAATTCCTGTTATATAGGTGTTCCTAGACTAAAGGAATAAAAGAAAATCATTTGCGATGAATGTTAAAACTGCCAAGCTATTGTTTTATAGTTTGATGTACGTAAAATCTCTCTCCAATTACACTAGGAAATGTGTTGGAGAATCATTACACTCCTGCAAGTTTTTTATCTGATAAATTCTTACATGACTAAATTTATCATGTCAAACTTGCTGAAATATGGTTAGTCCACAGGGGAGATGGCGTTGCTGGTAGAAGGTCTTGGAATTGGAGGAGAGACTTCTATAGAGGAGTACATAATAGGCCTTGCCCATGACCTCCATGATGGTGATGAAGCAACTGAGAAAGACAAAATAAAGTTGTATGGACCGGAAGAAGGACTTTCCTGGATTGCCAAACCCGTAACTGGACAGAGTTCTCTTGCTCTCATCTCTCGCCAAGGAACCCTGGTGAACCAAAGTATGCCTCTAATGGATCCTCTTGTGACCTTATTTGGTAGTGTCCATGAAAAGCTCCCCGAGACAGGAAGTATGCGAAGTATGCTTTTTCCTAATTTCGGCAGCATGTATAGCACAGTGGATCCTCATGCTAAAAATGAGCAGTGGGACGAAGAGAGCTTGCTGAGGGATGGCGAGGACTACATGACGGATGGTGATGGTGGAGGAGACTCGGATGACAATCTTCATAGCCCCTTGATTTCGCGTCAGACTACGAGTGTGGAAAAGGACACGGTGCCTCCTGCTTCCCATGGCAGCATTCTGAGCATGAGGCGCCATAGCACTCTTGTTAATGGTGGTGCTGCGGAGACAGTTGGTAGTACAGGCATTGGTGGTGGGTGGCAATTAGCATGGAAATGGTCAGAAAGAGAAGGCGAGGATGGAAAGAAGGAAGGAGGATTCAAGAGGATCTATTTGCACGAGGGGGTCCCGGTTTCTCGGCGTGGATCTCTTATTTCAATTCCTGGTGGTGATATGCCACCAGAAGATGAGGTTATCCAGGCTGCTGCTTTGGTAAGCCAGCCAGCTCTTTATTCCAAGGAGCTTATGGAGAAGTATAACGTTGGACCTGCAATGGTTCACCCTTCTGAAACTGCTTCGAAAGGGCCAGTTTGGGCTGCTCTTCTTGAACCAGGTGTTAAGCATGCGTTGATTGTCGGAATCGGAATCCAAATCCTTCAGCAGGTAATGAAACTGTAGTTTTTACTCTCTTTTTCTTGGTAGATAAATGTGTTTTAATGCTTTAGGAGGTAAATTCAATTGCTGATTTTTTTTTATTATTATTATTTTTCTATTACCTATGCAGTTTTCTGGAATAAATGGGGTTCTTTATTACACTCCCCAAATTCTTGAAGAGGCAGGCGTTGAAGTTCTTCTTTCAAACATGGGAATTAGTTCAGAGTCTGCATCATTTCTCATAAGCGCATTCACAACCTTCTTGATGCTTCCTTGCATAGGTGTAGCCATGAGACTCATGGATGTTTCTGGTCGGAGGTGATCTCTTTTTTCTATATTTTTCTTTTTCACTCAGGATGGCTCTTGTCAACGTTACATATTTTTCTCATGCTTGTTCTGTCAAATCTCTTTAAGCCTTTTTTTTTTCTTGGGGATTCTGGTATGGACTTTAAAGTTTTCGTGGTTGAACTAATTTCTTCTGATTTTATTGGTTATCCTTCAATTTTTTCTCCAAGTCTTACAGTAATTGTTGAAATCAATCCAACTTTCACATGCTCCCACATAATTTTGTCTGTCGTAATCATATGTACTAATTGACAACTGTCATTTTGACAAATGAATTTTTGGCTGCAGGCGGCTGCTACTAACTACAATTCCAGTGCTAATAGTTGCGTTGGTAATCCTAGTAATCGGGAATTTTTTGAGCATGGGGTCAGTCATCCACGCAGTGATCTCAACCGTGTGCGTGGTGGTTTACTTCTGCTGCTTCGCGATGGCGTATGGACCAATCCCAAACATCCTTTGCTCCGAGATCTTCCCCACAAGGGTCCGTGGCCTCTGCATTGCCATCTGCGCACTTGTGTTCTGGGTGGGCGACATTATCGTCACGTACACATTGCCCGTCATGCTTAGTTCAATAGGGTTGGCTGGCATCTTCGGCATCTATGCCATCGTGTGCATCATCTCATGGATTTTCGTCTTCCTGAAGGTTCCGGAAACCAAGGGAATGCCCCTTGAAGTCATTACCGAGTTCTTTGCTATTGGAGCAAGAGAAGTTGCTGAGGCCAAGAAAGACTAAAAAGAAGGTTTCTACAGTTGGCTGCTCTGCTACTCCTCCTGCAGCCTTGGCTCTCCTTCACTCTTCTATTTGAAGAGTTTGGTATTGTTAGTTGTGTAGCTTTTGAAAATGGGGTAGCTTCGTTTTCAAGCAGATCAACTCATTATTTTTTTTCCCCCTTCAATACTGGATTGGCTTATAATAGAATAATAATTTATTGGAGGAAGATTCATCCTATGAAATAGTTCATAAAACAGTTCATACATGATCATGGAATACTATATTATATTTTTGGGATTCTCACAAAAGAAACTCGTATCACCCACCATAATGCGTTGCCAAAGAGTAATGTAGTTTATCAATTAACATTTAATTTAGTTTATTAACTCTGCAAATTAGAATTATTATGCCAAGTCTCTTTGGATTACGGTTTTAAGGTGCCCTAAGTCGCTCATCCAGGCCTTGGTTTGGTCGGGCCATTAGCAAACAGAGCAACACATGGATCCACGCTACAGTTAGATGAATGGATCCAAAGCAAACTAAGGAAAAACTAATAACAAATATACATCGACATTAAGGAATGATTTAAAAAAACAAATGGTGTGGAACATTGTTTTATGCTTCAGAGGTACAAAAACTTGCAACCATAATGTACTCAATCCCATCTTTAACTAAGCCATCCTATTTACAGTCTGGTCTTCGACATTTTTTGTTCTACAGGATATCTGCTGTCTTGTAAAAAGCAGAACTCCATAGATCGGTGTACAGAAATTTGGCAAAGTGATTAATTGCAAAAAGAAAATGGTAGATTTTAGGGTTTTTGCCTTTCCTCCGAAGATAATGTACTTCCAGATGAATTTGGTGGCCATTCTGGCAAGGGAGCCTTGGAGTTAGCCACATGTTCATTCAATAAACTTTCTTCCCCACGTTCGGGCGACTTTGGATGTGACTTGAATGCTCGCTCAAAATCTTTTGCGTTGCTAGAGTCTATAACTAATTTGTTCAGCTTTTGCTCCTACAAACAAGAAAAAAAGGAAAGAAAAAAACAGGTATCAGGCTATTGTAGGATTAAAACAATCATCAAAATCTAGCATTTATAAAGTTTCTCAGCGCAATATGTAGGCACAAAGATACTGCACGCACAGTATTCATCGTATTCACAAAAGTTTAGTTGATTTCTTCAACTCATTAAATAACCTTTCCAACGGCAATTAGCAAGAATTGCGTGCCATGTCAGAAATTTATTCTTATACCCAGGAAAATAACGGATCAAACTATGGGGAATAAATTCGAAGAAAGTATTGCCCCCCCCTCTTTTTTTTTTTCTTTCTTTTTAGCTGGACCTAAGAAGGGTAAAATTAATACTAATACTTACACCCTGCAGCGCTTCAAGCTTTCTCTGCAGTGCCTCATGCTCAGCTTGAATACGAAATGGAACACCGTGTTTTTGACGCACGTTATTTTGTGCCAAATCTTCATCAATGTCACTGGCAGTGGTTGCAAAAGGATGGTTTGCGGGAATCCACCTAACTGTATCAGGGTCAACGTCAGGAGGTATAGAATCCCCTTCCTTAAGAAATACAGTTGGTCTCTTCCACTGGTATGCTCGGGACCTCCTTTTCTGATGAATAGCTTGTTGCTCTTCTGTAAGGGTAACTGGGGCCAAGCGATAAACCTTTCCACACATCTCTACGGTTGAATTGCTCTTACCCACTTTCACTAATGGATTGTTAAATGGATCATCATATTTAAGAGGCCTTGTTCTGCAAAAAAACATCACAAGAACAAAACCAAAATGGATATCATTAGACAAATCATACTCATAACTTCTTGGCACATTAAAACTTTTAACTTTAACGGGCATATCATGATCATAGTGACACTTCTTGGGCTTCAAAGAAAATCACAAACAAATATGTGAAACATCATACTTCCCTCTTCTATGAGACCTCACTTGAAACTGAAACGGTTATTATTCGATGCATAATACTTATAACTTCTAGGCAGATAAAGACTTCTTCAACTTTAAAAAGCAAAAACCATAGAACAAAATTGGAAACAAACAATTAAGAATAGGGCAAAAGCCAAAAGGTATAATAAATTAAGGGAGTGGAATCATACATGCCTCTTCTATCAGACCTCAGCTGACCACGTCTAACAAGATCAGCAACAGAGCCAGGAGGACGGCTGGCCCTTGCCTTCCTACCCAGATAGATTCTCACAGCCAAAACAAAAAACGTAGCAGCAATTACAATCCCAATCGCAAAACTTGATCCCTCTTGTCGTTTCATCTAATTTAGACAAACCCAAAACGTGCATTGAGTTAAGTACTAGCACTCAACAATCAACATAAACTAAAGCACAGAAATTTCATACATTTCACGAAAATAAAAACAGAGAAATCGGCATAAATCCCATCTAAAGAACAAAAAAAGCACTTAAATTTCTCAAATTTCAGGAAAATAAAACAAGAAGTAGCATTATGGCACAGAAATTTCTCAAATTTCGGGAATTAAAAAAAATGTTACCGCGAAAACAACGAGAGGGAAGACGCCGACAGTTGCTTGTGATTTCCCATGTGGGTCTTTGACAGTTGTAGCAGCAATGGTGGTCTCGGTCTTCGCCGTGTCATCATCTTGGGCGGCTCTCCGGTCGCTGCCGGAGATGGCGGAGGCGTCAACGGCTCTCAATACAAACTTCAGAGTCGGTGATTGTGGCGGAATCCACTTGAACGGAGCATTACACAGGCCGAATTCTGGTCTGAGCACCACCAGGTACGAAGTTGTCATCCGAAGCTTCGAAGAAGTCCAAATCAAGGGCTGTAATTTACACGAAATTCAGAATTTAGAAAAAAAAAATGAAAAGGAAGACAATGAGAGAGAACTTGAGAAACTAAACTAGTGACGGTCGAGGGATAAGATTTATCTTGCCTGAATGGTGCAAAGTGAAGAAGAAGCCATTAATGGAGGACGTTGATTGGGTACTTCAATTTCATTCCCGTAAAACGCTGCGATTCTTCTCTCTCTGCAAAAACCCAAACTGAAGAAGACGAGAAGAAGAACAACTGATTGAGAGTTGAGTAGACAAACAAATAATCCGGTTTTTCTTCTTTTGCCCTTTTTTATTCACGTAAGTAAAAGAAGTTGGAGAACATATTCAACTGTGGATCCGTAACGCAGTGGTAGCGCCTCTGATTCCAGATTAGATTGGAAGGTTGCGTGTTCGATTCATGTTGGGTTCAATCCTCAATTTTTCTCTTTTGCACGATTTTTATTTTTATTTTGAACTTTTCACGTTCATACGTCACCTTATTTATTTATTTATTTATTTCACGATAGAGATAAAGATCCTCCGCTGCTGAGTGTGTGTCCATTAAAAGCCCAAATCTTTAGGAAGCTCACGGAATCAAGAAGCCCACGTAGTCCAAAATGGTCCGTTTCTCAAAGTAGTTTTGGTAAATAAGGAGTGTAGCTTGTTGGGGCGGCCACGTTAAGTAGCTGGTGATACTACATATGCATGTATATATATATATATACACACACACATATATACATGATTCTAGATGAGAATGCAAATGGCACAAGAAATTAGCCAGCTTGAGCCTTGACATATCTATTTTTTTTTTTGCCAGAATGGGAAATTTTGTTCATACCTTTTCCTAATTCTAAATCACACACACCCTGCGTTTTCACGTGAATTTGTTGATACCATTCAATTCCAAACCCTATGGCCAATGCTTTTTATATCGCCTTTTAATCTTTTTTAATGACTTTATTATTGGAGAATATTAGTACTAGCTCTCGATTTTTGTCTCCCAAGGTTCAAGCAAATTACATAACTAGAAGAATATTAGTGTGCTATGCATAGTCTTCTTCTTATCCTCCTCCTTTTAAAGAAATAAGTAAATAAAAGCTTAATATAAAGGTTGTGCTTTTGAGCACCAATTTGAAGTTTTTATGGTTTATCTATTTGATATGAAAGGCACACTTGCCCATCTGATGCTTGTCTTTGGTGCGTCAGAGAAACCCTATTTTATTGGACGGTTACAAATAAAAGGGAATGAGTGTTTCTTTCATAAATTAGTATTATTACCAATAGTGTGGTCTAACACTATCTTGTGTTAGGTCAATACAAGGGAAAAAAAAATATGATTAATTGTTTGAAATTGGAATGGCTTTTCTTGTTAGATTATTAAACGATATTTTTGAATCCATTCCCCATATATTTTGGGTAGTTTAGTTAGTGCGTTTACCGACTCAATGTTCACCATAAGAAAAAGAATCTATCCCACGCTCATAATTCCAAAACAATTAATATTATAGGAGTTGCTATAGTAGAACTAAAAAAATAAATTGCGAATAGTTATCTACTTTTTTACCGTTAAATATGTATTAAAAACTGTTTGTTTTACATATATTTTTAATTTGATATGATTTTAATTAGATTTAAAGATTAAAAATTAATCCTACTGATATGCCGGTCTACCAGATAAACTCCTTAAGATTACCAAACCCTCTCACAAAAAGCGAAAAAAAAAAAAACCAAAACCTAATCCTATTCTGGCAGGCATTCACCACCCAAAATGAAAATATGTTCTTTTATTATTATTATTATTACTCCTATAGCTACCGTCTTCAGCTTAAAAAGCAACTTAATGATGGCTACTGAGATTAGTAATTTTAATTAATACGATTTAGTATTCGACAAAGTAAAATATTTTCCCCTTTTTGGGGTTTATCAGGAATATTTTACTGCATGTGACCTTTTGCGTTTCTCTTGTACCAATTGCACTTTGGGAGTAGCAAGCGTTTCCGCACATTAATAAAACATGTCTGATTTCTAAACATTTGCAATTGTTTACAAGTAAAAAGGTTTCCATGGACATATTTGAAAATGCAATATTTTTTTTTTTTACTCTCAGTCGGTCAAAAAGGCTTGATTGTTTGGAATAATACCATTATTAATTGTTTATTAGTTCGTTTGGGGCTGAAAGGGAACAATAATATTAATTAGTTGGCAGGTGTTGCACATGGAGATGGGCGTTGAGGCACTCTTTTAGTGCTCGATACTCGTCACAATTTGCTTCTATTCATTAGAGGGCAATAAAATAAAACGTTAGTGATTTCGTTTTCTTTATCGTTTTTGGACAGCCATCTTAGTGCATTGGTCTTACAGCATTAGAAAGCATTTTGCTTAATTCACATAGTGTGAACTATATTTCCAATTTCCTAACAGCTTGGCCAATTCTCAACTTTCAGTTTTCACTGTAGATTCACATATGCCAACGCCTACAATAAGACCATCAGAATTCTAAGATAAGTTATTAAAAAAAAGGAAAAATTATACCACGTTTTGAATTGTTCGATTTGCGTTGAATTTTGATCAAATTTAATGTTCAGAAATATACAATATACCACACATACAATATAAAGCTTCATAACATGAATGATATGGTACTAGACAGAGCTGGATCCGGAACTAAAATAGTTCCATACCCACCATTTAAACTCTTTAAAGTCGAACATACTAATGCTTTTATCAGCTCATAATTTAAAAAAAAAAAAAAAAAATAGGGTTGACGTGTATCATTACTTCACAATTAATTTCCTCGAGGATAAATTGGATAACATTTAATAGAAATGTGCCAAAATCAAGTTCCCTTTACCTATTATTATTACCTTTAACCTTTAAGAATAAAGTACTCCTCAAAAGCTTTAAAGAGGTCCCATACTCGTATTTCTTTTTATCCTCGATTCCATAGCCCACTTTAAAACTTTAAACACGAACCCTCTCTTAGTAATTCATTTGAGAAAATAGGAATTTCAATTTGCTACTATGTAGACAACGAGCGTAAAAGCAAAAGATTTTCAAAATCTCTCTCGACAAGTAAGGACCAAAGGAGAAGAAAAATCAATCAAAGCACTAAGAAATTGTATCACATGGAAGAAAATAAATAAGTAAATAAATAAATCAAAAGAATATGAAAAAGTTGCAAATGATGGTTGGTTTGACAAATGAAGAGATCCAGCGTCAAAAAAAAAAAAAAAACAACTCATAAGTATCTGGTCTGTGGACTTTGTACGACTGGCATAACAAGAGTCTTCTTTGGCATCAAGCAAGTCCATCAACCACAACAGAAAAACTTCAATTTATAATTTATTCAGAGAATATTATTATTATTTTTTTTTTTGCCCTCCTCAATTGGCATCAGTAATTATTGAAGCATTATTTATTCATTTTCTCGTTTGATACAGAAATAAACAACCCTAAAATCCACAAAAATAAAAAAATAATTAAAAAAAAGCAAATCTGAAGAAATAATATAGATCAGTGGAAGTTTGGTGAGGGCAAATTGTAGAGGAAGTTGAAATATTACATAAACATATACAACTATACATACAGAAAATCAATTACACATAGTCGCAGTCATTCGATCGTCATCTGCCAGTACTTGGTCCTATAGTATATTTTATGAACTAAAATCCGATAGAAGACAAAGATGCAGTTAATTAAAAATCTAGAAATTAATAATTAATTGAAAAAGAAAGTGAGGGAGGAATTCGAAGATAGCTAGTGGGAAGAACGCTAGGGTAAGAACCTATTGATGTGGTCCTCTCTCTCCTTCAGCCTGGCCTCGGCTTCGGAGCTTGATGAGCTGGCCGGAAAACCGCCGCACTTCTGGCACCTGGCGACGACGAGAATCTGGCGGCAGGAAGGGCAGGAGGAGTGCGATCCGAGCCAGGTGTCGATGCAGGCGACGTGGAAAGCGTGACCGCACTGCGGGAGCTCGCGGATCTCGTCGCCGATGGCGAACTCGGCGAGGCAGATTGCGCAGTCGGAGAACTTGGGAGCCAAATCGGCGGTGAAGGAGAGCTTCGGGAGAGAGCGGAGGATCTTCTTCTTGAGGCCTTTGTTCGGCGGCGGAGGCGGGGGACGAGACGAAGAAGCGGATGCGGCGGAGGAGCCTCCGCCGGAGAGGCGGCGAAGCCAGGCGCAGCGAGCGATCGCGACGAGGCCGAGGACGCAGATTAGGGCGCAGAGGAGGGCGGCGAGGATGACGACGAAGTCGGAATCGACGGGAGGTTCCGAAGTGGGGGTGGTGGACGACGAGTTGACGCCGCCTAATAATCGGAAGGAACGATTCATGTGAATGAGAGAGAAAGATAAAGAGGGAGAGAGAACAAAGGAGATAGAGAGAGAGAAGAAAGAGAAAGTTTGGTACCTCTAGTCTGGAGACTAAACTGTGTGAGTAACGTTTTTATGGCGTTATCTCAGCAATTACAATCAACAAATTCATTAAAGCAAGATATACATTTTTTTCTTTTCTTTTCTTTTCCTCTGGGGAATTACATTTCATTTTCCCTTTTTTTTTTTTAAGTGAAGGCAAAAATTATTCGAAATTTGGTGGGCATTAAAAGATGTATTAGATTAGATGATAGGAACGGAGGGGCCCCACATCCCATTTGCCCTTTCGACTTCTTTTCTTTTTTTCTTTTTTTTTTAATTATTCCTTAATCCTTTATGAGATTTTTTCGTAGAAGAATAATTGATATTCAATTTTTTCCTACATTAACGTAAATATAAATGGTAAGAAAAAAAACTCCGTAATAGAGTCATACACTACTTAGGAATGTGTCGTTCAAAATCATGATTTATTATTTTAAATTTTAAAATTTAAATTTTTTATGAAAAAAAAATACTATAATTAAATTAAAATTTATAATTTTAAATCAGACATAACTTTTAAAATAAATGACACCGTAGAGTGTGTATTTAGAACTATTTTTAAAAATGATTTTCATGTATTTTAATAAATAAAAAATGAAAATAAAAACGAAACGACGTTTGTTTAACAAATATTTTAAAAATGAAAATGAAAATAAAATAATGAAAATAATTTTTATGAAGTAATTAGAAAATATTTAAAAGTTATTTTTACTTTTTTGTTTTCGTTTTTTAGTATTTATTAATAATATTATAATATATTAATTAATAAACACGATTTCATTTTTTTATTATACTCAAAATAATCTTTTAAAAAATCAACTAAACGAGCATGTTTAGTTTGCTGATTTGAGTTTTTAATTCAAGTTGAGATGTGACTTTATGTGATAACTTTTTATTGTAGCAAAAAAGTTATATGTGACTATTTTTGAGAGATTTTTACTGTAGCAAAACTCGAATCAGTAAAATGAATTATGCTGTAATTTCATAATCGGTCCCATAATGATTCTCTAAATAATCTCATTTTTACTTTTTATTAAAAATAAAATCATTTTAAAACTAATTTCAAACACACAAAATACATAAATTTTTGCATATCAAAACGCACTACAAGCCAAACAAATTGTTAGCTTTAGATTTGGCGAGCCCAAATCTATAATTAAGTCCAAACCTGTTATCGTGTCTAAGGGCTTGTTTTTTTGGATCAAAACTCAAAAAAAGTTTAAACTCAAGTTACAACTTTATTAAAGTTCGTGTTCTTTTGTAAAATTTGAGTTTAAACTTGAATTTGAACTCGAGTTTGAACTTTAGTTTGGAGCTAAAATATGAGTTCAAGTTCTCCATTTAACTCAAGTTCTTAAACTCAAACTCAAGTTAATGAACAATATTTTTTCTAATTCTTAAAAATACCATAACCTTTTCGTTTAATTTCGATTGAGATGATTTTTTTTATGCGTTCATAACGAAGAGACGAATAAAACCTCATCCATATACCCTATTAAAATTTTTCATCAACGATGAGTTTTTAGTAATATATTATCTAAATACAAATTTAAATTTTGACCCACCCAGACACAAACTCAAATAGATTCTCAATTCAAACCATAACTTAAATTTGCACATTCAAATACAAACTCAAATTACAACTTCAACTCAAATTATAACTCAAATTTAACTCAAAATTTACACTCAAATCAACGTAACTAAAAAATGCAACGGAATAAGTCCTAATCAAACCCAAATCTCTAGTAGGACCCAAGTAGTCGACTGATGTAAGTCATGACCAAGCCTATCAGAGGAGTTGGACCAAGGCAAAGCCGTCGAGATGGGCAACATCGAGCCCACTATAAATCTTTATAACGGTGAAGAGCATCAAAGTGAATGTAGCTCTTAATTGAAGTCAACTATTATAAATTTTGGTCTCATTTACTTTATTTTATTGTTATACTTTTTGATGCATTACTGATTTATCTTTATAATTGCAATTAATGTTTTCAGTTTCAAAAGGCTTTCCATGGAACCTGGTTAAATGGCTTAAACGAGGATCATAACAGTGATCAAAGGCCCAACATTATTGAAATCCAACACTAACTGATCTTTATAAATTTTGACTGTAGAAACACGTCTAGTAAAATGTGTATATATATATATATATATTTTGCTAATCAAAATAAAATGCATATTTAAAGTAAAAACAAAGTTATTATTCCGAATTTTTTGGGAGTAAAAAGATATATATGCCTATATACGCATGAGGGGATCCCACGTCTCCTTTTCAATTTCGGTCTTTTTGCCATTTTCAGTGATTTTTTTATTGAGAGGGCAGTGAGATTTTTATTCCAGCCATTATTTAGTGAGATTTTTGTAGTATAATAATTTATCCAATAATTTAAGTTATTCCGACGGGAACATAAAAGACTGTAAAGCGCTTGGTTACTAAAAAAATCTCTGAAATAATGTCAAATGTTTTTTTTTTGTTCCCCTAAAAAAGGTTATATAGCTATTCAAATACTCGAAAATCCAACTAAACTAGAAATTATGAAGGTACGAAAGCAGCCATTCACGTTAACGAATAAATAAATAACTTTTTACTTGAATACCCATATAAGCGTAAATTCAAAGTAGTACTATAAATTTAGATCGGAGTAAACATATCGATTTGAAATTTGACACTGTTGGTTCAGTCCTGTACTAATTTATGAGTCAAGTTAGGTCAAGATTTCAAGCACATTTATTCAGAATAAATAAACGCCATCATTTTAAAGATTTTTTTTAAATTAGGTAATTTTTAAGAATTATTTTTACTCCTTAATATTAATTTATATATTTTTACCTTTTAAATTAATTGGTACAAGTTTTTTTAAAAAAATATTTTTAATAAGTTAAGTGCTATCTTATTCTCAAATTGGGGTTTTTGTTATCGTCTTGCTTATCGCCTTATCCTATATTCCCATTTTCCTCCCGAGCAAGAGTTGCACATGTCAGTTCCGTTTATTTTACTGATTTGAATTTAAAATTTAAGTTTTATTATAGTAAAAAGTTCTAAAAAACAGTTACATTTAACTTTTTTACTATAATAAAAAACTCAAAAATAAAATCACATCTCAACTCAAATTAAAAACTTAAATCAATATACTAGACGAGCTTCTCGTTTCATAACTGCGCCGATAAACGCAATGTTACTTTTGTTGACATTGTACTTACAATATTAACTTTATTGCATCATATGGTGTCGTAAACAGCTGGAGCTGACAGAATGCTAGAACAGGAGAAAGTGTATATACATATACATCTATATATACATTTATATATATATATGTATATATATAAGGAGGGCGGGGGGTGTGTGTGTTTCATCCGTTTGGTTGCCAAGAAAACATATATAGGAGAGAAAATCGCCTAATGGCAATTACAAGAAAGTTAATATAACAGTTTAGCATCCCAAACTTTATTTGATTTCCCTCTTTTCTTGACGAATTTTGAGCTCAAGGTTGTAACTCTTCAATTCGAAGCGAAGATTGAACAAAAATGGAAAAATAAAAGTTGAAATCTCCATATTAGGGAATATAAGTGAAAAGTTTAATTTTGAGTTTTGACTTCAGTTATAAACGAAGGTGATCATATGATGTTTTCTACTGTTAAATTTTTTGTATTCTATATTTGTCTAGTTGTATTTCCGTGCAGTTAAACAAGGAGACATTCACAACTCTCGGATGAATATATTTTTGAATTTCTACAGTGAAATTTTTTCTTTGAATCCTGCAGTGTGAAACTTTTGCATTATTGGTATTTGCACAAGATGGCGAGTTACAGAAAAGCTATGGCTGATTATAAATTAAGTTCAGACGCAGAAAAATAGTCAGGATATTTTCTTTTTCTACATAGTTTCTTCCCTGGTAATTATTTATTTTACATGAGAATGAAGGAATTATAAAGACCAAGTACTTTGTATATCTTTATTGTGACTCACCGTGTCGGATGTAAAAAGTGACAAAAAACATAAAAAAAATAGTGACACTAACATTTTTTTATATTATATTATTATCTTATTGCCATTTTTTTACACTGTTAATTGCCTATTCTGATTGAAAAATTTACCGTTTAAAATCCGTTATTTTTGGAAGGTTAACTTCCAATTTTAAAATGACCATGAACGTTTAAACTAACAAAATACAATATTACTGTTTGCATTAGATCAAATTATTACAAGCTTGGATTAGCAAAAAAAAAAAAAAAAATTACGGGCTTAGCCAAGAGTAGGTAAAGGCTAAAAAGAGCAAAGTAGGTAAAGGCAAAAAAGAGCAAAGGTGATTATTCAGACGACATCTAGGGGTGTATGGGTTGTCCTCCATTGTCACAAAAAATGACAAACAACGGTAATTATATCCTTTGGAACCTTGGCAAAAGAGAGTAGAAAAAGGAAGAAAACGAAAATTATGATGAAGATGTAGACTGAGGTTTGGAAAAATGTCCAAATAACACATGACGTAGAGTGAACTTCCATCTTCCAAAACGAAATGATGGTAGTTTTTGAGCTTTCCTTGATATGTCGAATTTCTCGTCATTTGTTATGGTAATTTAACACCTTTGGCCTCAAGTTGCGGGAAAGCATATGGCACTACAATACATATTCATGAAAAACCAAATTTAAAAAATTATATATGAAATTTTATTTTTTGAGTGGAAGTAGTTACCACAAATTTTATTCCAGGTAGATCTAATTTCTTCTTTCTCCACTACTTCCCACAATTTTTGCGGGATTTGGTCAAATTTTCAGCCATTTTAGTGAAGGTGTATCTAATCTAACCATATAAAATGATAACACTATCAACAAACTCTAGTTTGTTACATGAGAAAACCCCTTGTTTAATTTCGTTTTCAGATCGACCTAAAGTCGATGCCACTTGGATGGGCAAGGAGGCGAACAAAAATACACAAGAACGTATAGGAATTAAGAGCGGAATTAGGAAGTCACGCAGCATCTTTTCTGCCGGCGATGACTTTCATTATTCAACCTTTATAGTTAGCCACCATAATAACATTCAATTTTTGTGGAGAAAAACAAAAGGAAACAAAACCAATATTGCCACAAATCTTTCCATTTCATAGATAGCTTTAACCAATATGTTTCTGCTCAGCAGCAGTCCATCATCAATCAAAATACAAAATAATAGGGCTTGCAACAATACATCTCACCTCCAAAAACAGTCTTGAAGCTTCCGCGTCTCACAAGTCATATCTGACGTTCCATCTACCAGTACCATCGGCATTGAATGTCCAATTGTTTTCCCTTATCTGAAAATATGAAACCTGAGAACCAAAGAAACAATAAAATTGGGAAGCAGAAAGTCAATAATTATACAAGCCTTTTACGACAAGAAAACAAAAGATAAGCTAGTGTTTTATAAGAAGAAATTAATACAAGACAATCCTTTCCCCACACGTCAGAATCAGAGAGAAATACTGTAACGATGCTATGAAGTTATGAGCAGTTTAAATCAAAAGCTACATGCTTATTTACACATGAGGCTCAGTTACAAACTGAATACGTACCTTCTCAATCACGTGATAGCCAACTTTGATCCTAACATCTTGTTCCTTTTGAAAGTTTAAAATGGCCCAGGACAATTCAGCAGCTCCTCTTGACCTTTTCTGTTGTTAGTATTAGAACCAGTTAGTCCATACAATTCGGAAACTAAAGCCACAAAAACCAAATAGTCATTACGTCCTAAGAAATATACGTGTTTACTAATACAAATACAGCAGTGTTATAGAGCTCGGGGCTTATACCAACCTCTTTGAGTTCTTTGTCAGTGTCAAAGCGTCCCTTAATATTAAAGCTTAACTGGCCATTGGTTGTCACAGGGAATGACTTCTTCCCACGTATAACATACCGCAGTTTCTCACGCTTATCGTATTGTACTCCAGCTCCGAGGCTAGCTGAGATCTAAAAGTGACTATTTTACTTAGTACTATATAGATCAAAAAGAGAAGATAAAATAACATTCTCATTTAAAAAAAAAAAAGGTTCTTAAAATGCTGGTGAACCAAAAGTAAGAGCATACATCTGGATAGAAGCGTCTTAACAACGCGCTGAAATGACTCGGACTTCCAACTCGCGTATCAAGCTCCCCATGGACCTTTCATAATTCACAAGAGAAAGGGATTATTAGAAAATTTAAGGCTGAATTGAAAATGTGTTAACAAATCACCATAAAGCATGTAAGTAAACCACTGAATGACCAGAGGTTTATCAGAGTCCATCTAAAGCAGCTTACACGAGCACTGAATCCTCACAACATCCCACTATTTCTCAATAAGGCCTTGTTTGGTAGGTAACATTAGATTTCAAGACTTAAATGGTAGTTTGGCAAGAGGAATTAGAGGAGATAATAGTCTAGTAAACCTTTCTAGCATTGCGATTAGAGAAGGGAATCCACAGCAAATACAAATGAGAGAAATCTTCCCCTAATTCTCCGTTTTCCTCACCAAGATTACACAACTATTTTATTTTGCTCCTACCAAACACAACCTACGTAAATTCAAATAAATGTAGCAAATTATAGCACAACATCAAAGCGTATTTGAAACAGTGTTTGACGACTGACGCACAAAATTCGCTATACCAAAAACCAAAAAAAAAAGAAAAAAAAAATCTATGAAAAGGAAAAGAGTGAAATTTCACCTGGAGGAGAGTATTGGAGTCAAGAAGAGGGAGGTTCTGCTTGGCATGGATTCTCAGAGCTTTGGAATCTCCGCCATATCTGAGTGAGGTCTCCATCTACTCCCAAACTGTTATCTTCTTCTTCTCCTCCTCCCTCTTCCAAGTTTTCAAAGATTCTTTGCGTCTGCGTGCTAATCACGTGTCTTTGACAACTATTAGTTTCGGAAGTTTGGCCCAAGCCACTATGGGCCGGCCGGCTCTATATTGTGTTGTCGTTTCTTTGCTTTCAAACAAACGCCGTACCGTTTGAGAAAAAGAAAGTAAACGACTATCGTTTTATGATTGACAACAAACGGAAGCCTCGCTTCTGTTGACGTATTCTATGATTGTTTGTTGAGTTTTTGGGTTTCTCAAATTGTCCCTAAATTTTCAATTTCGATAATTAACGTTCCATACGTATAAAATTATTATAATGTGTCTTATTTTATTAATTTATTAATTTTTTTTTAATTAAATTTAAGAGATTAAATGCTAAAGAATTAAAAGATTTATATTATATTTAAAATTGAGATATTAGATTTTTTTTAAATGTGTTTTTTTTTATACTAATCTAACACAATTATCGTCAAAGTAAGATATATTTTAATAATTTACAACTAAAAAAAGACAACTTATCAAAATTTAGAACATGTTTAGTTTGCTTATTCAAATCTTTAATTTGAGTTAAAATGTAACTTTATATAAGAGTTTTTACTATAATAAAAAAGTTAAATGTGACTGTTTCTTATAATTTTTTACTATAACAAAACTCAAATTCTAAACTCGAATCGGTGAAATGGACGGAGTTTTAAAATTTACTGGTTAGTTGGTAAAGACATACAAGGTGTAGAACTATTTTTAATTTACGTATGTTTTTTATGAGAAAAAATACTGTAGCGAATAATGAATCATGATTTTGAATCAAAGAAGCAAGGGCTCAAATGAAACTATTTTTAATTTACGTATGTTTTTTGTGAGAAAAAATATTATAGCGAATAATGAATCATGATTTTGAATCAAAGAAGCAAGGGCTCAAATGATTTCATCAGTTATCTGGTACGGGGCCACAGTTGTGTTGCACTAGACGGCGTCGTTTTTCAAAGCGTCTTGGAAGACCACACCCCAAAAACCTCTCGGAGCTGGATTAAAGTTTTGGTTTTGGACCATTGGTTGAATGAACTGAAGAGAGAGAGAGAGACTGAGAGAGTCTAGAGAGAGATTTTGGGTTTGAGAAAATGGGAATGGGATCGAGACTCGATCTTTTTCTGTTAACGATCGCCATTCTATCAGGAACTGTTCTTTCCGATCTCATTCTCTTCAAGGTTGATCGTCGCGTAAGTCTCTCTTTCTATCTCCTCTTTAGATCTGATCATTTTCGTCACCTTCGATTGAATTTCTTGTATTTAATTTTCGAATATATTTAACTTCTTCAATAATCTAACTTTGTTTCGACGTCTATTTCAAATTGCAGGTGGATTTGACATCGCAAGTTGTTCGTGTCACTTCCACACTCAAGGTGCGTAATTTATCCCTCTTTAATGTCCAACGTTGACTTGTCTTGATGTGTTTTTGATGTTTCGTTTCATTCTTCCTTTGTTAATTACGAAAAAACTCACTTTAAGTTATCACACAAATGGATTTAACCCGGAAAAAAAAGAAAGAAAAGAATCTATGAACTTGTAGTGATATCTTAAAATCCAAAATATGAACTTGAATTGATTCTTTTACAGTCCAAAATATGGACTTGTATTAATTTTTTTAAGTCCAAAATATGAGCTTGTATTGGCTTTTTGAAGATGTTGCGGTTGGTTTGCAGGTGGAGAATGATGGAACCAATTCGGTTTCCGAGGTTCTGTTGGCCTTCCCTGATAACCAGGTTAAGCATTTGGCATATTTGACTGTGACACCCAACGAAGGGAAAGGAAAATCAAAACATTCAGCCAATAGTTTCCCTGTGGAGGTTGTCCACCCTAAAGATATGCCTCCTGCCTTGACTTTCTATTCGGTGTCTCTACCAAAGGCTCTGGGCAAGGGGGAGAGCTCTACTTTTGATGTCTTGGCTGTCTTCACCCACACTTTGCGTCCATTTCCTGAGAAAATTACTCAGGCTGATATACAGCTTCTAGTATTTCAGGATAGTGCATACTTTCTCTCTCCTTATGCGGTCAGGGTTCAATCTCTCAGTGTAAAATTACCTGATGCGAGAATTGAATCTTATACGAAGTTAGAGAATACGAAGATTCATGGTTCGGAGATCAAATACGGTCCCTATGAGAATCTGCCTCCCTTCTCGTACTCACCAATCGTCGTTCATTTCGAGAGCAAGCAACCCTTTGCTGTTGCTCAAGAGCTGGTGCGGGAGATAGAGATTTCCCACTGGGGTAATGTTCAGGTGACTGAGCTTTACAATCTTAATCATGGAGGTGCTGAAATCAAGGGAGAATTTTCCAGGTCTGATAATGTGTTTTTTTAGTCCTAACATTGTCGGTTGGATTTTTGTGGTTTAATCTAATATTGGATTTGGGGGGTTTAATCTAATATTTTCCTTATTTCTTATGCAGGCTTGATTATCAAGCCAGACCTCATATAAGGGGTGCATCTGCTCTTAGGAATCTTGTTGCAAGATTGCCACCACGAGCTCGTTCTGTGTATTATAGGGATGAGATTGGTAACATTTCAACATCTCATTTATGGGGAGATTCTAAAAAGGTAAGTACTTTTACTTCATCTGAAATGATATCTATTAACATTTATCATTTTAATTTTGTTCCTAATTTTGCTTTGTTATTTTCTATGATTCCAGACAGAACTGGAGATTGAGCCTAGGTATCCAATGTTTGGTGGTTGGCGAACTTCTTTCACGATTGGATATAGCTTGCCACTTCAGGATTTCTTATTTCAGTCAGAAGGGAAGCGTTTCCTTAACATCACTTTTGGTTGCCCCATAAATGACGTGGTCATCGACACTCTCATTGTGAAGGTCAGTGAAATAATGATGTTCACTTGTGTAGTCGCATAGGTCTTACATTTAAATTGCTCAGCATTTGGTATTGCATCAGAATTATCAATCCTATATCTATATTGTGGTCGTTGAAACTACAGGTTGTTTTGCCGGAGGGCTCTAGTGATATCTCTGTATCTACACCTTTTCCTGTCAAACAGTCGCATGAGGTAAATTGCCTTTTGTTTACTTTCTTTTGCCTCTGTTCTTTTTCTACTATTAAAGAAGTGGCATCATTATCTTCTCTTATCTAAACAGTGGTCTCGTCAATTTATTATTGGTATGATCTTCTGTAGACCAAGCTTTCCCATTTGGATGTTGCCGGTAGACCTGTGGTTGTGCTAGAAAAGAACAATGTTGTGCCTGAACATAATCAGTATTTCCAGGTAGGACTGTTTCCCATTTGGAGTTGTCAGAATTTGCTAAAGCAATGGCATGTAGAACCAGATCTTCATACAATCTTATAATAATATGAGTGGTGGTCTATTTATGAGATTTTGTATATTGCTGCCACAATATGCAGTGTTTTTCAAGTTAATAAATAAAAACAAGAAAGAAAAAGTTTAGAAGAAAAATGATTAAACGAAATGCCTTAGATGCCCGTTGTTCACATCTTGGTGCTGTCATCGTTCATTGTGCAGGTCTATTACAAGTTCAACAGCCTTGCGCTGCTTAGGGAACCATTGATGTTGATTTCTGGGGTTTTCTTCCTTTTTGTTGCCTGCATTGTATACATGCACGCGGACTTGTCAATCTCTAAATCTTCTGCTTCTTATTTAGCAAAACTGCAGTGGGATGAAGTGAGTAGTTTTTCCATTCAGTATTTGATTATGATTTGCAATTGTACAGAATGCCTATTAAGTGGTCTTTGCATTGTTCTAGGTGCAAGGAGCAGTTCAGC